AAATAAAAGAAAAAACTTTAAAAGGACTGGGAGTATAGCTCGACACTCCTTGGGTTCATTGCCCAGTGCGACCAAACACAAAGAAGAAAGAAAGAGAGAGAGAGAGAGAGAGAGAGAGAGAGAGAGAGAGAGAGAGAGAGAGAGAAAGAGAGAGAGAAAGAGAGAGAAAGGCAACAGTAGATTTAATACTTAGTAAGTTTATATAGTGATTATTTTCTGTTTTCTGATAAGATGAAGACGTGTATTAAGGAAAAAGAAACGCAACATGTAGAGTTCTCTTTCCATGCAGTTTTCTAACTAGAGAGCACTGAGGGTTAGAAGTCCCATGAGTTACAGACAAGCATTTAGATTTCTTCTCCCACATCAGCAGCTTACAGAAAACCAGAGCTATATAGCTTAGAAATACAGCTTTTAAACCGAGATTAATTTCAAGATAATAGATGCTCTTTTGCAATTGCTTATATATGTGCTGTACTGTGCTGTGCTGTGCTTATATGTGTGTGTCTTGTATGTATGCAGTCTTGCCAACATAGGGGAAGAAATGGGGTATGAGGGAGGGGGAGGGGGAGGGGGAGGGAAAGAGAGCCTTAGCCTTCAAGCAAATCTAGGAAGTCTATGATCAAAAAGTCCTTTGCCCTTGCCCTGCCAGAGTTAGGATTGTGCAGAATGTTTTCTAAACAATACTCAGCCTCTAGCAATGAGTTGATATTAATGTATTTGCTACCACAGCTTCTACTCCTCGTTCAGAGCTTACAGCCCTAAGCTCTAATAGAGATTTTCTAAATGTCTTCTGTATAAATGTTCCTGTCCACACAAGAGAAATGAGCTTTCCCTGAGTAAATGTTTTCATGGCTAATACCCAAGTTCCAAGGGCTCTGAGTTCCTCACTGGGGCTGTCACGAATGGAGGACTGGTGTGATTCCAGAGAGCGTATGGAATCTTCATCCCTCACTCAGAAATCTATTCACAGTTGAAGCAGAGTATAATTTAAAGTGCAGAAGCTCTCTTCCGTAGGAAACGGAGACAATCTGTCTTGCCAAGCTGGCCAAACTCCAACTGGATAATTACATTCTGCCTTCCGAACAGGGCTCTCTTTTCAGTCTGATTAGTGGTTCTTCACTGTCTCTCCCAAACACCCAGGGTTTACTTTACACCTACAATATCTGCCGCCTCGGTCCTGAGGGAGAAGCACCGCTGTGGCTAATCAGTTACTGTGGTCAGTGCAGCTTGTGGTCTCTGACATACTTGGAAGGATTGTAGGGTAATATTTAATTGCTTTTCCTATGTACAGAGGCAGTAGACCATAAATATATATTATGAATGTAGGTGGTTTGCAAAATTTAAATAACTCTAGAATCTTCCAGAGTATTCCTGTGTTCTATATGAAATGTGTCTCGTCCTTTGATCAAACCTCCCTGAGAACCGAGTCCTTCTCAGGTGCTGTTCCCAGTTGCACTCCTGATACCTGGCACACGCTGGCACGTGGCTGGCAGACAGTAAATGTTGCAGAGGAGAGATGGGTAAAGGGAAAAGAAATGGGTTTCTCTGGGCCCACCTTACCTGTTACAAAAATTACATCTCTTGGAATATTTGCCTCCTTAGAGCGTCAGCCTAGTGCCACCAAATGCAGTCTCTGCCATTCTTAACCACCATCTAGGTCAGGGATTCAGAAATATTTGACAAAATCTCTAAACAAAACCTTTCCAAGTGCAGTGGGCGTTTTCTGATTCTTAAGCTGCTAGCTCTGCTGGAATGCTGGTGGCTCTCGCATGCCGGTGACAACCCCCTACCAATTTTCATTAAATTTATGAACCACTCATTCAAAAAATAGCATCATAGCTATACACCTTGCCTCTCTGCTGCTTCTAAATTCTATACCGTTTATCTCTGCATCACTTATTTAGATACCAGATGTGCCTTACATGGTTATTCTCCTTTTTACACTGCTGGTTCTATTTTGCATCTCTGAGTATAGGAAAACCTTGACATTAAAGTGTCAGTGTTTGTTAGTAACCCTCACAGATACTCAGGAAAAAATTATTTGGATTTATTTAGTTGTTACTTTGAACTGGAATAGGAATCCCATGATGTTTAGGATATA